CAACCCAACATTGCAAACAACCCCGTTTCTCACCCCCTACATTGTCATCCCATTTTGTTAACCCCCACTATCTCTCTCTCTCTCCATCTCTTCATCTCTCCATCTCTCCCCAGCACAAGGTTGGTCTTCCCATCAGTACATACTTCAGTGCTGTGAAGCTGCGTTGGCTCATGGACAACGTGGATGGAGGTCGCTGAGGCCATCCTGACCCACAGAGCCATGTTCGGTACCGTCGACTCCTGGCTCATCTGGGTAAGACTGGGCTGAACCAGAACCCTACAGGCTGGGTGATTTACTACTGGGCTGGGAACAAAAAAACCTGCTAAGCTTTTCAAGATCAGAGTCGGTGACCGCTGATCAGTTAATGTTCAAATGGTTTATCTGTGATAAATGATATCTATCCACACCATGTCAACAGTAATATTCATTACTCTTATGTGACTGTGTGTTCCTCTCACCCCAGTGTCTGACGTGACCAAGCCAAACCTCTTCAACAGACACACCCTGGACTGCAAGTAGGGACACAAACACACACACTTCAACATGTCTGTGGTCCTCTGTAGCTCAGCTGGTAGAGCACGGCGCTTGTAACGCCAAGGTAGTGGGTTCGATCCCCGGGACCACCCATACACAAAAATTTATGCACGCATGACTGTAAGTCGCTTTGGATAAAAGCGTCTGCTAAATGGCATATTATATTATTATTATATATTTGCATCGGCATACAGAGTTCCACATGAGTTTCACATGAGTCGTTAATTGATATCTTACAATATTTTTTCCTGCATTATTTTAAACACACTTTATTTTTGTTGGTTGTAGATATTTTGATGTCCCAGTGGAAATTGTTCCCCAAGTGAAGAGCTCCTCAGAAATATACGATTCAGTGGGGAGTTGATACAACCTTCCGGTCTAGCTTGTGTGTCTCTGTACGTTTGTATGCATGTAGTGTTTTGGTTTTGAAACCCTTACCAAACAATGCTTCGAACATGAACCTACCTATCCAGGTTAAATCGTATGATCTTTCAATAGAAGGGAGACCTAAAGATGTTAATGATCAAATATGAGATTTAAGTACATCGTAAAAGCAGGTAATTTGGTCCCATGAGAAGTGTTTAGTCCCAACTGCCACACAGCTGACCTGACAACATTCCAGGTTACTCTCATAATAGAAAACGGCGGCAGGTGGCTTTAGTGGTTAAGAGCGTTGTGCCAGTAACCGAAAGGTCGCTGGTTCTAATCCTCGAGCCGACTAGGTGAAAACAAGCTAGACCGGAAGGTTGTATCAACTCCCCACTGAATCGTATATTTCTGAGGAGCTCTTCACTTGGGGAACAATTTCCACTGGGACATCAAATCTGTTAATGTGCCCTTAAGCAAGGCACTTAACCCTAATTGCTCTGGATACGAGCGTCTGCTAAATGACAAAAAGGGAGAGAGAGTCAGAGAGCGCACAAAAGAGAGAATGAGAGAAAACTAATTTGCGCTTCATATTAAAACTGGCAAAGTTAAGAAGGGCAGTCTGCTAAATGACTAAAATAAATAATTACAGATGGCTCCATACTGTAACACGGTTTAGCGAACTCCGACCCAACTTTGCTATTTTGCCGTTTATTTTGAATTTATGTTCACGAAATGTATCCACTATAATTTCTTATAACCGACAAGAACTTGTGAACATCAGATCGTCAGTTACGTACCTAAATTCCAGCTTCAACTTCGACTCATCTGCCCTGGGCTCTTTCTGTAATTCTGACCTAATATTCGGGGTATCCAAGAGGAAATGTCGGTGTTACAGAGGCAAGAGAAGGGGAGTTCTGGAGAGATTAAAGTGAAGGGAAAACTGCTCATCTGAAACATGGCTTCCGGACAAGATATGGACTCTCCATTCACTGAGCGGACAGGACAGTGGAGTCAGGGAAATCGAGAGGGGCAGGGGTTTGACTCTTCATCAACAACAAATGGTGTGCTGACTCGAGCGCATTGGAAGTCTCGCCCCATTGTTCACCCGTCTTTGAATACCTGATGGTCAAATGCCGACCCTTCTACCCCCCGAGGGAGTTTTCAGCTGTTATCGTGACTGTTGTAGACATTCCACGTCAGGGCAAGAAAAATAACAAGCTGGCAGTAAGTGGCAATCACTCTCAAATTCATAGACAGAGCTACTGATGCAAGTACTGACGATCCATCACATAAAGTTATGGTTTTAACCATGTTTTGAGGCTACAGCGCATTCGGAAAGTATTCAGACCCCTTCGCTTTTTCCACATTTTGTTACGTTACAGCATTATTCTAAAATGGATTAAATAGTTTTTTCCCCCCTCATCAATCTACACACAATCTAATGACAAAGCAAAACGTTTCTTTAAAAAAAAAATATGTTTGCAAATGTATCAACACTTCAATACATAAGTATTCAGACCCTTTACTCAGTACTTTGTTGACGCACCTTTGGCAGCGATTACAGCCTCGAGTCTTCTTGGGTATGACGCTACAAGCTTGGCACACCTGTATTTGTGGAGTTTCTCCCATTCTTCTCTGCAGATCCTCTCAAGCTCTGTCAGGTTGGATGGGGAACATCGCTGCACAGCTATTTTCAGGTCTCTCTAGAGATGTTTTATCGGGTTCAAGTCCGGGCTTTATTTATGGAGGACTAAAAGTGCCACAATTAAATAAATAAATACACCATTAAATAATTTCTTAAATGTGTCATTAATTAATTAAAATTAGAATTAAATACATAAATGTGTTATTAAATGTGTCATTAATTAATTCAAATACCGATTCATTTTATGTAAAATACATATATAATAATTTCACTATTTACATTTACATTTCATGGTCCTGCGTTGGAGTGCTTCCTGAATTACTTAAAACTGTCAAACTGACCCATCAAAAGTTGGTAGGCGGAACCTAACGCCTGATTGGTTACCCTCTGCATCAAGCCAAGACAAATCAATTCCGGATAATGGATTGATGCAGAGCTACTGAACACATTCCAATACACTGGGTGGCGCTATTCACCTCTACGTTGGTTTAGTTACACAGTTAAACAGAACTTTCATTGCAACGGCTAAAAATCAAGAGAAGACTCGGTCCTGCTAGCCCCAATGTTGAGACGCTGTGTGAGGTGCAGGACAAAATGTCTAAAAGTTGCCCGGAGCTGCTGAGAGAAGCAGCGAATTTGATTGAGGAAGCTCTGAGCAGAAGTCCAACGGCTCCCGCGGCACCGGTGACTCCGGCAGCTCAGTCACAGCAGATACCGGCCGCTCAATCACGTACACCTGTCCAAGGTAAGCTAAGTAATTTCATGTTAGCCAGGTGTGCTACTATTTAATGATTCGGGACACACGTGTAGGTTAAATTAGATCGACTCGAACATGTATTTGCATGCGGTATTATGATGCTTCGTGCGTGACACGTTTATTGTTAATGGGGGGGGAAGCATAAACCTAGCTAGTTCGCTAATCGGCTAAATGGTGTTAGCTGGCTTGAGCATCCCAAGATAGAAGTAGAGGCTGTTTTAGCTGACTGGTGACCATTGAGCTGTTACGTTTTTCTGTGTTGCAGCGGAGGTAGCAAGGCTCTTTGCGCCATATAACATTGGAGCCAGAAGGAATATGACGAGACGACCAGCACAAGTCCAAGTTAGCCGAAGAAGCTACACACACACTGTCTGTTGTTTGGCTGACCACAATGCGGATAAAATTCCAAGCGTACTGTTTAAAGCTGAACTTCTTACTTCAGGACTTGGAGAGCAAAAAGTAACATTTTCAGGTCAGTGCGAAACTAGGCATTTACCAAAAGTAAAAAAAGTTTGTACTGTCTGTGGCTTGTTGAAATGATTTGCATTTCTTTTTATAGTGACTCAAACTTAATTGGTGTTCATAGTGTCAATAATAGTTATCACAGGCTTATTTGCTTAATTTAAGGTGAGGTGAGTTATGATTTTGTTTTGTTTTTTTCTCCAGGGAATGACCACGATCCCATGGTTATAACAAATAAACTGATGGAAGTGTTTCCGAAGCTCCAACAAGGGGGAGGCTTTGAATTTCTAAAACTTGTAGGATCTACTCGCAGTCGAAATCTTGCGTTGCTTCAGTGTCCCAGCACTGGATACACCCTTGCCTATCTGAAAGATCCATCGACGATGATTGGACAGGCTACAATCTACATACGTCCACTTCAACAGGATCTACCCTTAGATTGTGTACATACATTTACAGAGACTTAGTTTAATACATAATCAAAACAAAGATTACTGGTGACTTTTAATCATTAATTAAAAGCCATTTGTTGTTGTTGTTAGGAGAGCTCACGTCCTGCCTCTGGTCCAGTCATCCCCTGCATCACTTGTCAGAAGGAAGTTCCCTTTTCAGAGATGAAGCTGCACAGATTGAGCTGCAATGGGTATGTACTTCTTAAAGCAATGCAAGGGTAGCATAATTTATTTTCTTTGGGAATATGTCTCTCTTATTGTTGTGCACACAAATAAGCGAGTATGACCATCATTTCAATTGTGTTAACTTCAAGGACACCCATGCAGGAATCAGAAAGAGAACAAGAGGGAGGCCAAAGTGAAGAAAATGATAGTGAGACAGCCCTAGTCAGTGACAGTGTTCCAGTGAGGCCTGAAACATCAGCTGAGAGTGCAGTAGTACCGGCAGTGATTGTCAACGAGGAGTTGGATCGCAAAGAAACAGACAGTGGTTTGTGTCATCACAATAGTGTTGCTATAAGATTGTGTGTAACTGAAAAGTTAATAGAAAGATAACACCTGTAGGATATAATTAGATAAGATAATACAGTTACAGACAATTAATAACATGCAACTGGGTTTTTCTATTTTTCTAATATTTAGTTGTAGTTGTTTAGTAGTGCAGTTGACTTTTTTTTCTTCCATTTACTAAAATCAAACTGTTCTGCACCTTCAGTGCTAACAGTACAGCATTCATGTTAGTCATTCTGTGGACCATAATGAGACAGGAAGCTTCAAAGAA